GATGTGATTCTGCAATCTGTATACGGGGTAAAAATGGGAGTTCATAACCCACTTGAATCTAATGTATGAAATATGATATGTCAAGAGCTTTGTAATGTTGTGAACAACCAATAAAAAAAAGAAAAAAAGAAAAATGTGAACAACTGGTGAAAACTAAGCATATTCACTGTACTCATCTTTAAACTTTTGTATAGATTTGAAATTTTTAAAGATAAGAACTTGGGGGACTAAAAAAAACAATAGGCGACTTTGTCAAATACTGTTGAGAGGTTGAGTATGAGAATGGAGCTGTGCCTTTTACTGGTCATTGATGACTGTTTTAAKAAAGCATTTCAATTTCAATTCAATTTCATTTCCCCTCTGGAAGGGGAAAAATCTTGATAAAGAGTAAACAGAAGTGAGAATTAGAGATAAATAATTAAGTGGAGGAAGTGAGTACAAGTAACTCTTTCAAAAATTTTCCCATGAAGAGTAGTGGAGAAATAGGATGTGGAGTCAAGGAGTCTCCAAAGGTAATATTAAGACATTTAATATGTTGATGGGAATGATCCAGAAGAGAAAAAGAAATTGATCTTCTAGTAGAAAAAGGGTATAAATGCAGGGGCAGTCTTGAAACTGTGAGAAGTGCTAAGATTTAGGGCCCAAAAAGGAAGGAGTCACTTTACATGAGGCAATGATGATGACAATGATAATGGTGGTACCACAGCAGCTCACCCAAAAAATAGGTACTATTTAAAGAATTTTAATTTTCATACCAACACTAAAAGAAGATATTACTAATATTTCCTTTTATAGATGGATGCTGAAATACAGAAAAGTTAATTTATTTGCCTAACAATACATATTTGGTAAGCAGAAAAGCCAGGATTTAGACCCCAAAGGAGAGATTTTTTTTCTTTCAGTGAAATTAGAGGCAAAAGCAAAGTTTGTGTGTATAGATACAGGTAGGCTGGCAGTAGTGAAAAAATGACATAGCTCTTGCTTAATAACATTTTCTCCAAGCAACTTTTGGTGGGTTCATCAGCTGAGGGGAGGAGGAAGAAAGGATGTTGGAGGTTAGAGAAGAAAAGGTGAGAAAATCTTGCTTCAGGGAGGAGAAAAGTAAATTTAGTAGCAATGAATAGCAGTATTGAATTTGAAGTGAATCTACTTGTCCTGATTGGATGATACTTTCCAGTTATTTTTAGMTGACTGAGAGCAGGCATAAAAAGAATAGATGGGTTTAACTAGGGTGCGGGGGGGGGGTTGCAGCGGGGCGCTCCGGGCAAGTGGCATCTATAACGATATGAGGCAGGGAGTCAGAGGAGTCTGCAAGAGGGCTGATAGTAAGAAACCATGGAATCTAGGCTAGGAAATCATGAGAAATGCATGAACATTAATGATGTGCAAGACAGAAAAGGTGGTTGGGTCAAAGGACTAGAGATTTGTGAGGAAAGAAACTAGTTGGGATGTAGATATTAAAGTAAGAGAGTAAGTAACCATCAAAGAGTAGGATATGTRAGAAGATCCCAGAGGGAGTTTGGCTTCAGAAAAGGGTCCCGATACAAGTGTTTTGGAAAATATATGTGTATCTGTAAGTATTCTAAAGTTGATCATAAATGACTCATGGCTTTGATATTAACTATTATTTTCAATAACTACTCTTCCTCCTACCAAAACCAAGAATTGTCACAGAAAAAAAAAAAAAGCATGTTATTATTTCCATTAAGGGACATGGCTAAACTGGGACAAAACCACATCTAAGTTTAACCCTTTGTTTCTTGTTCCAATGTTGTCTCATCATTCATTCATTAAAACTGCTATATGAAAGAACCCATTCAAAATGTGTAATTCGATGTAGCTGAGAGTCATAAAACCCAATGAAACTTAGCTCAAAGTCAATGTGACTGTGAAATAAAATTATCAGCAGAGCTAACAACAAAAACAACCCTAGATTGTGAAAAACAAATTGAAATTATGATGTACATGAAGAGAACTGTGTAGAAAACATTTCTAGTAACTGCTAGCATTCTGCATAATTAACACATATCCATGAAAACACTTGTTTTTAAGGGAGGAGAGGAAGATAAGTAAAACACTGTTAGAATTCCAGTATTGCAACATCAGAGTAATTTTGTTTTGTTTTTTAAGTGAATTTGTTAGACACAAAGATCACACATTTCTGTGATAATAATGATGATAAGGTCTAGATTATAACCATGTGGATGGGAGGTTGAGGTGGCAGAGCATAAAAGACTATCAAAGAAGGCTAGAGCACTGGATGAAACTGTTAAGTGATGTTCAAGTTACACAAAGAGGTGTCAAAAGCAGTGGTGAAGAGTCATCAGTGAAGGTGGGGTAGGTGACACCAACAAAAAGGCTTAAAGAAATAAAAAAAAACCCTGATATTATATACTTGAAAGATGTTAGGGGAACTGAAGGAGAAAGAAAGAAAAATAATTTGGAGGCTATAGTGGATAACAAGGATCCACCTTTCTCCCCATGGGCTCTGAGGTACATGAGGTAGGGAAGGAAAATCAGGTTCCAATTTGGGAAGTATCCTTAGAACAAAAAGGTGAAGGGACTGTTCTGAGAAGAAGCTGAGGATGTAGCATAGTACTTGAACTTGGTGTGTTCATAATYAATCTTTCTTAAATTTGAATCTCAATTTTCCTAATAGTTTACTATATCTTAAAAAGGAAAAATATTAAAAATTTATTTACAAAGAATCTGGAACAGATTAAAAAGGAAATAATCCTCTAATGACTTTATTTTCCAAATCCATGAAAAACTCATCTTCAAAAGTTAGTCTCCTAGCCAAGATAAAAAGAATCCAGCATATTATTGTTTTTGGCTTAATATAAATGGACAGCTATTATAAAACAAAACCAGGCATTCTCTTGCATAAGAATTCAATATCAGAGGAATAAAATTAAGTGAATTCTGCTTTGATGAAACTTAGAAAATAGCCTCTCTGAGCACAAGCTGAACAAAGTTAACTCTTATAGTTCAAGCACAGAAACAGATACCTATGGGATGTAAATAAATAGATTTCCTAAGTATAATCTTTGGAGTATAGATACAGAAATTTTGGAATATATAGTCCTTCTTCAAGTAAAAATATGATTATTCCATGAATAACTTTAGAGGTATGACATTACTGAAAAAGAGATGTTTGTCCTAATATCATAGTTTTTTCCCCTTAAATTTCTTCTGAATATTTTTAAGACTATGTAAATGTCAAAACTTTTTTATGCTTTAACAGAAAAATTGTATTTTATGTCCATAGGTTGCCTTCTAAATATTTCTACTAAGCTGTCTGTATGTAGCTCATGAAATTATATAGTCCTTTAGGGTCTTAAATATACAAAAAAAATCTGTTCTATAAAGACAAAATTTTATGAAATTTACCTAGAATCTCCCATCAAAATCCAGTGGTTTGTTTTATAGTGGTATATGATGGTTTAATCATGATCATTAATCAGAAATGTCAGCTGATTCAACTGCAGGTTAGTTCTGTCTTCCTCATAGACTATCAGATTCTAATCACTAGACAGAAAATTTACTAGTAGTTTTATTATGCCAGATAAATGGACAAATGGATTTGAGAAAGGCCAACTCTTCTATTTCAATAAGCCTAATATGATGTGTCAGAGCAAATTGTCAATAATATACTGTGCTCATTTATTACACACAGCTGGAAGCAAATTATTTCTCTTCTTCATGAAGAACCCAGCTGGAAGTAATCTCTCCTTCACCACAGTTCTTTAGTACTTTGTATATTACTTACAGGAATTTCTCTTTGGAGGACAAGATTTTTGTTCTTGTTTTATTTTCCTTCTAGATTATAAGCAAGTAAACTACACCTTGACATTTTTCAATAGCCTCAAAGTATCATAGCATTATTGAATTCCGTTTCATACCCAGTACTCATAGAACAAAATGCCATAGTGACACTATCAATATCAAACTCATCAATATTATGGATTACACATAAATAGGCTTTTGTTATTTGATCTAGAATCATGTCAACTTTTAGGTAAAACAGAAAACTGTTTTGAATTCTAAAAACTTAATTACAAAATCACTGTCAGAACACAACAGGGACTTTTCTGAGCTACATCTCCAGCCCTACCCCTTTTCTTTTTGAGACAGGGTCTCACTAAGTTGCTGACCTTAAGCTTTCCATCCTGATGCCTCCGCCTCATAAATCACAAACATGAGCCACTGCACCTGGCAACAAGGACTTCTTATACTGCAGGTATGACTAGAAAGGTTCCCAACAGAAAGCAGTCAAATGCTAAGTTTCCCAATTCTGTAAATAAAAGAGAACTATTTTTTTCTTTAAAAATATAGGAACAATGGAATTTAAAAATAACATTTTGTGAAAAACATGGGAAAATGTTTAAAAAATAATGCATGGAGTTATACTTGCCCAACTGAATACTTCAAATGTCTTTCCATTAATCCAGAGAATCCTGGTTAAGCACAGGAATTTCATGTTGTTTATAAACTGAAATTTCAACTTACCATTTATGTTTATTGCTGGTAATACAATTGACATTTTTGGTCTTGTGGTCTTGTTATGGGTGGTAGCTGGTAACAGTAGGTGATCCTAAAATTAACAAAGAATAATTTGTTATATATAACAACTGGCTCAGCACTAGAACAGGCCAAATTTAGGCTTTCTATGAAGTTGACATTTCATTGGGATCATGAAAATGAGTTTTTATTTGGACCTGGCTTAAAGGTAATTAAGATCATTCATTAATTAATACAATACACATTTACTGAGTATGTACCATTACCAGGGGTTATGCAGAATTTGGGGAATACTCATGGGTGCTGATAATACATATGCTTCAGTATATTATAAAGAGTGTCATTTAAGCAGTCAGAAAAGGGAGTTTTAATTCTAATTCCACCACTGAATAGCTGTATTATCTGGACAATATATATATATATATATTTATCTCCTTTCTGGGTCTCACTTTCCAGTCCTGTAAAATGATGAGGGTTAGACTAAATAATATTACACAATACTAAATTGTGTACCCACTAAACAGTCATTTTCAAACCCCATTTTAAAAGAGAAATTTTCCTCTAAAATATTATCCAAAATTACTAATATGTAAAAGAGAAGTTCTGCTTAAAGCAGGGAAAGGGCCTAGTACCTTTCCTGCTTAGTCTTGCCCATTTGAAGTGGCCAGGACATTAGATATTTATTTGTGACAGGTATATGCTAAAGATGATGTATAGTTCTTACCCTTAAAAAGCACATAGCTTAGTAGAAGAGTTTAAAGAATCATAAATATGTGTCTAGCACAATTATATAGTTCTAACTATAACACAGCCAAACTTCAAATATACCACAGAGTTACAGTAACAGGCATAAAAACAGACATGTAGATCAATGGAACAAAATAGAAGACACAAAGACAAACCCATTTATCTACAGTCATCTAATCCTTGACAGAGGTGCCAAAAACATACACTGGAGAAAAGATAGCCTTTTTGACAACTGGGGCTAGGAAAACTGGTTATTCATATGTAGAAGAAYGAGACTAAATGCTTATCTCTCACCCTGCATGGAACTCAACTCAAAACAGATCAAAAATCTAGGAACTAGAGCAGAAACTTCGAAACTCCTAGAAGACAACATGAGGTCAACACTCCAACACACAGGCACAGGAAACATCTTTCTTAATTGGACCCCTCAAATTCAGGAAACAATGCCAAGAATTAATAAATGGGATGGTATCAAATTAAAAGGCTTCTGCACAGCAAAGGAAAGGATTAATATGAAGAGAATCTACAAAATGGGATAAAATCTTTGCTAGCTACTCTTCTCACAGAGGATTAATATCCAAAATATATAAAGAACTAAAAAAAAAAAAAAAACACCTTAACACCAAGAAATATATTGCTAAGTGAAGTTAGCCAATTCCAAAAAACCAAATGCCAAATGTTTTCTTTGATATAAGGAAGCTGATTCATAGTGGGATAGGGAGCAGGAGCATGAGAGGAATACTCAAACTCTAGATAGGGCAGAGGGGTGGGAGGGGAAGGGAGGGGGCATAGGGTAATTAATGATGGTTGAATGTGATGATCATTATTATCCAAAGTACATGTATGAAGACACGAATTGGTGTGAGTATATTATGTATACAACCAGAGATACAAAAAATTAAGCTCTATATATGTAATAAGAATTATAATGCATTCTGCTATTATAAACATAAAAAAGAAAGAAAAAAAACTTAACACCAAAAACAAACAAACAAACAAAACCCCAAATAACCCAATTAATAAATGGGCAAATTAACTCAACAAATACTTCTCAAAGAAAAATACAAATGGCCGACAAATATGTGAAAAAATGTTCAACAATTTTAGCAATTAGGGAAATACAAATCAAAACTACACTGAAATTTCACCTTACTCTGGTTAGATTGGCAGTCATCAAGAATACAAACAATGATGTATGTATGAGTTTGTCAGGATGAATCCAACTATTATGTATAAACATAAAGGTCTAATTAAGAAAGAATACAAACAATGCTGGTGAGGATGTGGAAGAAAAGGAACACTTTTATACTATTGGTGGGATTGTAAATCCATTATTCAGTATGGAGGCTCCTCAGAAGAGTAGGTATGGAACCATCATATGACCCATCTATGACACTCCTCAGTATTTATTCTAAAGAAGTAAAGTCAGCATACTATTATAATACCCATATTTATAGCAACATAATTCAAAATTATCAAATTATGAAATCAATCTAGGTATCCATCAACAGATGAATGGATAAAGAAAATGTGATACACACACACACACACACACACACACACAATGGAGTTTGATTCAGCCATAAAGAACAGTGAAATTATGTCATTTTCAGGAACATAGATGAAACTTGAAAGCATTATGTTAAGTGAAATAAACCAAACTCAGAAAGTCAAAGTTTGTGTGTTTTCTTTCATGTGTGGAAGCTAGAGGGGAAAAAGGAAAAGAAAGGTGGCGGGGGGCAGGGGATCTCAAGAAAATTGAAGGGAGATAATAGAGTAGAGGAAAGGCACAAGGGAAGGGAAAGGGGAAAAACTGGGAAATGATATTGGCCAAATTATATTGCAATGTTGTACAATTACGAACAATTATAATGCATCAAAGAAAAAATGGGAAAAAATAAATACACCACAGAAAACTTTTGATGACCTGTAAGTGAATCAGGTATATCTGAGATTCCTGGTCTCTAGCCACACAATTACTAAAAGTAACAATGAGTCAAGAAGAGCTTGGTTTTGGAAAAGAGGGCAATAGAAATGTTTTGGAAAAAATATATGTGTGGCTGTAGGTATTCTAAAGCTGATTATAAATGACGTATGACTGATATTAACAACTATTTCAAATAACTATTCTTCCCTCTAGCAAAAACAAAAATTATCACAGAGAGAAAAAAGCATGATAGTATTTCCCCTTAAGGGAGCATCATTACATAAAACTGAACCTAAGTTTAACCTGTTTTGTTTCCTAGTTCCTATGTTCATTGTTTCAYAATTCCTTCAAACTTGCTATAGGTTAGAACTCCTTAAAATGTAGATTTGACATAGTTAAGAGTAACAAAAACTCAATGCAATTTAGTTTAAAGTGTGATTGAAATGCAATTATCAGCAAAGCTAATAAAAAAGAAACTTAGAGTATGAAGAGCAAATTGAAATTGATATAGACAGAACTGTGTAGAAAACATTTCCAGTAACTTGTGCTTTGTGTAACTCAAGACAACATTTCCACAAGAATACTTTTTTTAAAAAAAAGGAAGCAAGGAAGGATGAGTGAAGTTTTGTTAGAATTCTAGCATGGCAGTATAGTAGTTTTTCTTTCTTTTCTTTTTCTGGTTTTGTTTTCTCTCATTTTTAAGGAGCATTGTTGGGCACAAAGATCACACATTTCTGAGAAAAAGATAACATAACCAAGGAAAAAAACACAATTTTGCTGATCTTCCTGCTATGAAAAGTATAAATTAGCTTAATTCCTAGAATTAAAATACTGTTTCGGGGTCTCTAATTTGAATGAGAAAACAAACCAAAAACATGTAAGCCCCAAATTTAGGTTATTATAAAAATAAATACACTTAGATTCCAGTGGTCATGAGTTAAGATGAGACTTAGACTTAATTCTGAGTTGCCTGCTCAACAAAAAATGTTGTTTTTAAACACAATTTTCTTTCTTTCTTTTGCAGTTTTGACAATTGAACCCAGGATCTTGTACATGCTAGTGCTCTACCATGAAGCTACATTCCCAGCCCTTCTTTTATTATTATTATTATTGTTTTTTAATACCATTTATTTATTTATTTATTTTTATGTGGTGCTGAGGATCAAACCTAGGGCCTCGTACATGCTAGGTGAGCGCTCTACCACGGAGCCACAATCCCAAGCGCCTCCCAGCCCTTTTTTAAACTTGTTTTTACTCTGAGGCAGGGTCATTGCTAAGCTGCCCTGGCTGGCCTGGAACTTGTGATCCTCTTGCCTAGGTTCCCAAGTAGCTGGGATTAACACAATATCTCCTACAGACACTCTTCATTAGTAAAAAATTGTGTTATTATTTATGAAAAAAAGAATCACAATTTCCATGCATACAAATGATTAGTTAACCTGCTTCATCTCTGATCATTAGAGATTTGCAAACTGGGGAGGAACAGCTTACATTTTTAATTTTTAACGGTGCTGGGAATTGAGTGCAGGGTCTCACATGTGATATAGCCTGCAATTTAAAGTGCACGTTTGGCAAAAAGTCCAAAGACCATAACTGCAGGAAACCAAATTTGGTATATTATAAATTCTAGTAGTGCTTACCTTATATAATAAATAATTACATACATATAGACAGCTAGAACAGTGCAGTTGCTTCATTTAACAGTTACCTTCACTGCCTTCAAATAAATGAGCTTTGAACCTCACAACAATGAACCCTGAATCATTTTTCTTCTCTGTATTCATCACTCTTTTTTAGATCATTAATCCTTTTAGTCATGACTATAGAAACAAAGAAGCTTTAGTTAATCAACAAATATTTATTAACTTCATTTAAAAAAAATTTACTGAGCAAAGTATCCTGGCATATATTCAGCACTGTGCTACAGAGAATGTTTTCTTTTAAGGAATACAAACCTAAGTTTTTATTTTGTTAGAGAAACAATATGAATTGCCATATAAACAGACATTTGTTTATATGACAATAAATGCTCTTCTTTGGTAATTTTAGCATAGAAATAGGACCTTTGATATAAGTCTGTATGCCACCACTCTGAATAAGACCATACTCTTCAGTTTCTGTTGCAAGCAGGTGAAGCCGCATTTCTCATCAATGAAGATAAGAAGTGGTACCTGCCACTTCTTCTTTAAGGTGGTACTAATGGAGGGTCCCCTCCTCCTTCCCTTTTCCTGCTGACTAGAAAGCAGATCTGACTGCTAGAGCTGGAGTAGCCCTTTTGGACCATGAGCTGGAAATATAAGCAGAGCAACCAGAGCTACCAGACAGGAAATGGAGATCCTAATGACCAAGACCTCTGAAACTTCAAAATTCTAATTTATCTAAGTCACTATTATTTTG